AAATCAGAGTAACTCTTACGAATTGATTTCATTCGAAATAGGTATCCAAAACGTAAAACCCCATTTCCATTTCGTATTTGAAATAAGAACAATAAACTGTCATGGATTTCCAAATTTAAATAGATTTTGAATCTATTTGCGTTTGAAATTAAATACTTCCAGAGAAATGAGAATATTAGAATAGAGTCGATCAGAATTATACTTGTTCTATCAACTGAATCAATTCTCGAAAATGTTAAACATCACGCGTAACTCGAAGTAGCCACATTGGCAAAAACAGATGAGATTAAATTGTTTACTTGCATTTTAATTACAAATACAAGTCATAAAATTACGTGTCCGAAAAAGGCATGGACAACGGAGGGTTAACATTACGACTAGATAGCACGGTTAATTCGAGACGACATTTCTCGTGGAGGAATTGATCCTCCATTCCCTCTGTTAATTACTTGATCGCGGTCGCTGCAAAATGATAATCCGCTTTGCGAGCCGCGGAAGGAAGGGGTGATAAGGCCTGCTGGTGAACGAGTCCGAGCGAGAACGCCATCGGGAGATATAAGACCCGCGAGAGAGCAAGGGAGAACGACGTTCCGGACGGAACGAGGCCGTAGGCCGGGGCTGAAAGAGAATCTTCTTCGCCGGCGTGAAATCATTGACAGTAATCCGCTTATCGGGATACCGACATTGAAACCCTCACAGCAGGGGGTGGGAGGCCCGAGACCGGAGTCTTGAAAGCGGTAGTGGAAGTCCGGGGCCTATGCGACCCGTAGGAACAAGCGAGAACGCCACGCCCCTCGGGCCAATAGTCGGCGGCCCAGCCGTGCCGGCCAAGCCAGCGGCAAAGCGTTATTTGGTCTGGCCTCGAAGCCCGGACGCATAAGTCTGTCTCTACTCTAAGAGACGGTTAGAGCATCAAATAGTCCATCTCACTCGGACACACGGCCCCCAGGGCGGATAGAGGGAGACACAAGTATGCGCAGTCCCCTTACTGCACCAGCCCTCCGTCCACGTGCTACCGCCGAGGCTGAGTGTCGACGGACTCGAACGCTCCCCGAATGATTCGCCCCCTTACCCACTATGTATACACTCGATGGCCAATCTGCTTAACGTAGTTTCTAACCATCTTTTCCCGATTCGCCCCGACCAATACACTGAAAAGGAAATCAATTGCTAGAAAATTGAGGGTTTAATTTTTCTCAACCTGACCTCAGATACATTACTGTAAAATGTAGCCAAAAGATTGCAGTACGCACAAATTAAACGAATAACGCAGGAAAACCATAATATAAAAAATAAGTTTATGAAGCAATGAGAAAACCACAGTTCTCGTTAATTTTAAAATTTGATTACATGAACACATTGAACTTACGACAGTAAAAGATTGAACCATAATTGGAAATAAAATTATATATTTTCGAAGGAATTGAAAATGCTTGCAATATGATATTATATGCAAACAAGTTGTAGTTTATTTCGCGACGGTCGAACAGCCCCGCTACAGCCCAAAGTAAATTTAAATGTTACGTTATATTTCGGTATATGAATTCCCTGACGAACGTTACACATGGTGTGTAAGGGGGCGGAGGGGGGTGAGTCATTCAGGGAGCGTTCGAGTCCGTCGACACTGAGCCTCGGCGGTAGCACGTGGACGGAGGGCCGGTGCGGTAAGAGGACTGCGCATACTTGTGTCTCCCTCTATCCGCCCTGGGGGCCGTGTGTCCGAGTGAGATGGACTATTTGATGCTCTAACCGTCTCTTAGAGTAGAGACAGACTTATGCGTCCGGGCTTCGAGGCCTGACCGGATAACGCTTTGCCGCTGGCTTGGCCGGCACGGCTGGGCCGCCGACTATTGGCCCGAGGGGCGTGGCGTTCTCGCTTGCTCCTACGGGTCGCATAGGCCCCGGACTTTCACTACCGCTTTCAAGACTCCGGTCTCGGGCCTCCCACCCCCTGCTGTGAGGGTTTCAATGTCGGTATCCTGATAAGCGGATTGATTCAGTTGATAGAACAAGTATCATTCTGATCGACTGTTTTCTAATATTCTCATTCCTCTGGAAGTATTTAATTTCAAACGCAAATAGATTCAAAATCTATTTAAAATTGGAAATCCATAAGGGTTTATTGTTCTTATTTTAAATACGAAATGGAAATGGGGTTTTACGTTTTGGATACCTATTTCGAATGAAATCAATTCATAAGAGTTACTCTGATTTGCGTTTATAATAAACTCGGATAAGAAAAGTCTTTCTTATGTTTACGGGTGCTCATTTACATGCTCATTTAATGATTTATAGGTGTCCATTTATTCGAGGAATACGAAGAATGGTGTAGAACATAAATATATAAGAGGCATGAAATCACGATTTCGTTTCTATGTCTGATAGTTGATGCATCGTAAATTTTCCGACGGTATTTCCCTGTATATATATTTAGAAACTATTTCTTTTAAGCTAAGATAATATTCTAACTTCGGTTCAGTGAATGGAACAATTGAATCACTAACAAGGAAGGTACTTGAGGTGTGCCCCTCCGATTTTGTTCATTTTTAAATATGTTATAGAGGACTACAATCTAAGGGACTCGTGTTTTTTTTTATCGGCGGATAAACACTTTTAGGGGGTGAAATCAGGCTTCAAATTTGGCCGTGCAAGGGGGTGAGTTGGCTGTTTCATATAGAAGCACTCGTCCGATTTTCATGAAACAACCGTCAAAATGTAGGAAATGAAGAATTATGAAACATGCATTTGGAATTTTTGAAAAAATTCATTTTTAAGGGCTAAGCCACCCCTTTGAATACTTCTTTTACCCCTTTCGCGAGCAGTAATTGTTCCATCCAAATGAAACTTTTTTTGTATCGTTCTGGTCTATAAATTAACCAAGTTTCATATCGATAGAGCAATTACTGCTCGCGTAAGGGGTAAAAGAAATATTCAAAGGGGTGGCTCACCCCTTAAAAATGAATTNTTTGTTTATAAATATTTATTTTCTTTAGGAAATCCATTGTGCCCCTCGAGCGATTCAAATTCCGCGCATCTTCCGCCACTGGTACGCTGCGCGGCCGGAGAGGGCAGTGCGGACCAGGCCATCGATGGAGTCCAGTGTACCGGTTAGCGAATCCCACATCTGACTTTTCCTCGGTCGCGCTCCCACGGGCACGGGAAAATATAGTTTATCTGTGTTAATTGGTACATTTATTTGTCTTCTTTAGAGATTTAGTTCTTTTGTTTATTGCTTAGGTCTTGGTTCCGTTTTGAACTACCGAGATGCATCGCTCGAGATACTTCTTTTTTCTATACAGTGAAACCTGTTTTTCCGCGGTGGAAAGGGACCGCATAAAAGAAATCGTACAAAAAAATATTTGGAAATTTTATAAATACTTACATATAATAAACAACTTTGTACGATATACTACCTACAATTTTTTTTATGCGGCGGACAGAGACCGCATAAAAAAAGTCGCACTTAGAAAACACCAATTATTTACGAAATATATGAGAGAATGCTTTCAATTAAATTAAATTAGATCTGGAAAAATGGTAAAAACATTTAATTTTTCATTGTACATATACATGGAGACGTTTTCAAATTGTACATTAAATAGTTCGCTGCTACTCGTCGTAATCCAAAACGCGCATCTACTTGTGACGGTTCAAAATCGCTTTCGTCGCTTGAAGATAGGATTTCAATTGATTTGTTTCTCAGTACCATAAAGTCAGTGATCAGTTTTTGTGACGACGGTCGATTGGTCAATTGCTTGTAATCGTCACGATAGCGAGACATGCACGATCTCAGCTCTTTTTGGAATTTCAAGCTTCTTTCCGCATTATTATCTATTTTACGAAAATGCGTTTCCAATTTTTTAGAAATCTGGATCCCTGCATATATTTTATCTGCTATAATAGATTCCGGTTCTTCTTGTCCATTTTCATAATCTATCAAATTATTGATAATGTCACTATCATTGATAGTTTGGTCCTCAATCGTTTCGTCCAGATCATTTTCGCCGAAAGTATGAAAGCCTCCTCCGCTAATGTTATGTGCGAGCGCAGTAATTTCAGATAATAACGTAGACGCGTTTTCGGTTACATTTCGATTAATTACACATTCAGGCCAGATCGCTTTCCAGCATGAATTTAATGTGTGTTGTTTTATTTGACTAATTGCTGCAGTAATATGGTTTATGCAGTCTAAAATTGAGAATTTTTTCCAAACTTCAGTCAGACTTAATTCAACGTTCACTAGCTTTTTCAGAATGTAGCTAAAAGTTAATTTGACATAATGTTTCTTAAAATTTGCGATTATGCCCTGATCCAGTGGTTGTATAAGGCTAGTCGTATTTGGTGATAAAAACAGTATTTGTACATTAGGATGTTCTATACAGGGATGACCGGGTACATTAACAACAATTAGCAACACTTTAAACGGAAGACCCATCTCTTCCATGTTTTTTTCAACTTCTGGTACAAAAGAATCATTGAACCATGTTGCAAATACAGCTGATGTGACCCATGCTTTTTTATTGGCCATGAAATGTACTGGATATTCAGCTAAATTTATGCCTTTTAGCGCACGTGGGTGCAAAGCTTTATTTATAATGAGTGGTTTTAACATTTTTGTACCAGAGGCATTACTGCAAAGAAGGAGAGTAATTCGATCCGTTGCCGCTTTAAAACCATTTGCAGTTTTCTCAGATTTCGCAATGAATGTTCGGCTGGGCATCTTTTTCCAGAATAACCCAGTCCCATCTGCATTAAATACTTGATTTGGGCAATATCCACCATCATCAATAATTTCTGCTAATACTTTACGATAATTCATAGCAGCTGTTTCATCGGTGGACACTGCCTCGCCTTGTATCTTTACATTGTGAAGTGCGTATCGTTGTAAAAATCCAGTAAACCAGCCATTACTCGCAGAAAATTTCACGTTTCGTAAACAGGATGACGAACTTGGTTCTAAATCCTTCAGCTGGTGGAAAAATTGTCTAGCTTTTTCTTGAATGAATTCTTTGTGAACGGGGATTCGTTTTTTAGTTAAATCTTTAATCCACAACACGAGAGCCTTTTCCGTCTTCTCTATTACAATATATTGGACCTTTTGATTAATAATCGCGAGGCTGGCTTGTGAGGAAAGGATTGGGCGAACAGCGATAATAAATTTCACATTTATTTTAACACACTCGAATATATTTTAATTAAACTTCTTGCAGCATGTGCGCAGCACCGTGATCGACGATAAAGGTAAAGGTGCGAGAGACGCCGGTAGAGCGACGCTTCGCGAGACGCCGATACCCGAAAGAATCCGAAGAATACCGACGAGCCCCGAGGCTCTATTGCATGAGTTCGACTATACTAGTCGCGTGGCGCTCTCCCACTCTTCGATTTCTCGAGTCTCTAACGCGATAAACCTACTGCTCCAATACAATATTTCTCGAATATGATGCTCTTTTACTACTGTCGTTTGTTGCACTATTAAGAGATTCGTATATTTTATTCGCACGTTTGTGTATAGCTCTGATTGTGGATTCACCTAATTTAAATTCGTTAGCAACAGCTGTGGATCCTTCACCATCTGCTAGTCTATTTAATATTAGAATTTTTGTTTCTAATGGAATTGTCTGTCTTTTTACTTTCTTTTGGCCGTAATTANAATTGATCCTCCATTCCCTCTGTTAATTACTTGAAAATTGTTTTTTTTTTTTGTAAGGAGATTTAGTTGAAATCATATAAGCATAAAATATCAATGCTTTAATTCTGATCATAATAAGCACCTTTTATTGCGAAAAAATGGTTACATGCGGTTGCTGCCGGTCCGCCATTTTGTTTCTCTTTCGAGGAGAGTATTAAATTGAAATCTTATTTACAGAAAATATGAATACTCTAATTTGGATTTTTAAAAGTACCTTTTATCGTAAACAGTTGTTACTTTCAGACCGCTATTTTATTTCTTTTTTAAATTTAAAGTACAAATTTGGAATCAGTGACCCAAAAAACCTTAAATTCGTCACAGTTTGACAAATGTTCTAACTTTCTTGACTTTTGACCAGGATTTTCGGATTCTAGCCCACTGTGCGACGGTGTTGTGGGGGTGATATGGATTGTGACGTAGCAAAAATCTTTGCTCGTCACAGAGAATTCGTGGTGCCGGAGCGGGGAGGAGTCCCTCTGGCAATCGCTAGAATAAGTATTATTGTTTTCAAAAAAGGATGTAACCTGGCGACAGGTTCTGCGGGGGACTGATGCCGGGCGCCTTGTGCGCGAGGAAATACTTTCTACCGGATCATGGCCAGCGCAGGGCCCAAATTGGGGGGTCCTGCTGCCATCGGGCGGCGGCCGCCCTAATTAGGCGGCCGAGTGATCTATTTAAACTCGGCGAGATGGCTGGTCGGGGCCCGGTAAGAAGTTCCACGAGATCCAGCAGGAGGACATCGAAACCGGAATGCAGGATCTTCCGGCACATCCGGCATTGCCAGAGGGACCGTTCTGCAAGCCGCATCGTCCGTCGTCCCGTCCCGTCCCGTCAACGACTGCGCCTCGGCCGAGACCTCCCGAAGGGCGCCGTCCCAACTCGAGCCGAAGGGCTTCGAAGCGCCGTCGTCGAGAAGGGGAACCGTACCGGCCCAGTAAGGACTTCTTACCGGTGAGCCCGAGCCTGCCCAGGGGGCCTCTTTGACCGCCATTAATCCGAGCCGTGAGCCGATACCGCGCCGTGAGCGCCGCAATTCTATGTCCGACCGGCCGAATTAGATCGTGATCCTGGTGGATCTTGCGCGCACCTCCCGAAATTCGGCGGGAGATTTTTCGTCTAGTTAGAGTATTCCGGGTCCCGATTCCCACCGCCTGCCAGCGTGGCGGGCCGCGGAAAGCGCTTAAGTTTCAATTGCAAAGTTCCGACGGGTGGAGACTCCCACCCGCTCGAGTGTATCGCACCCCTTACCGTGCTTATCGAACTTTTCGTTAATCGTACTTGATTTTTTCTGGCTGCTAGCAAGCAGGTCGGAGTGGGTAGGAAGTGTAGGGTCGTGCCGTAAGCCGGTGCTGAATCCCTTTGTGCGCAATTACCGAAGGCACCGGGCTCTTATCGAGGTCCAAGGGGCAAGCGGAAGGTCCGTCCGCTAGGGTGTTGTTCCCTGTACGGACTTCCACCGGGGAGTCCGTTTCCGTAATCGCGTACCCTATTTTTGTCAGTTGGTCCCGTTAATTTTCGATTCCCCGTTTTAGTTTTCCCGTGTCAACTCGGCGTAGAGTTCTCGCTAATAGTGTAACGCGCTACCAAGTTAGGGCCGAGAGGCGAAATAAAAATCTCCCGAAGGGAGGGTCTGTCGTAACACGGTTTTATTAATTTGCCTTGTACACTGGACACCATCGATGGCTTGCTCCTGGTCTGCACTGCCCTCTCCGGCCGCGCAGCGTCCTAGCGTCGGGAGCAGCGCGGAATTCGAATCGCTCGAGGGGCACAATGGATTTCCTAAAGAAAATAAATATTTATAAACAAAAACAATTAATGAAAATTATTTTAGTATTACTGTGGAGCGTCTCTGACCCACCTAACGTAGTTTTCGTTAAAT